TCTCTTCTTTTAGTGTTCAAACATCACACCAGGTGACAGCTGGGAAGGCTCTAGCCTTACTCCAAGGTCTTCAATCATTTCTTATTTCAGTGTTCACTCACTTATCCTTGTGTGAAGGCACAACAGAAAAAAGTTAAACAAGTTAGGATGAAAAGAAGGTTGTCAACATTAACATAAAACTTAACAGAACGATAATAGATCTTCCTCTTCTTCTTCTTCTTCTTCTTCTTCTTCTTCTTCTTCTTCTTCTTCTTCTTCTTCTTCTTCTTCTTCTTCTTCTTCTTCTTCTTCTTCTTCTTCTTCTTCTTCTTCTTCTTCTTCTTCTTCTTCTTCTTCTTCTTCTTCTTCTTCTTCTTCTTCTTCTTCTTCTTCTTCTTCTTCTTCTTCTTCTTCTTCTTCTTCTTCTTCTTCCTTTCCTCCTTCTTTTCCTCCTTCTTGTCTTCTTATGTTCTGGGGGGGGGGGCATTCCTGTTTTCTGCCTGGCAAACAGAAGCCAAGTGGACATAGCATAAACAGAGGGGAGGGAAAGAACATTTGCAAACAAACCAGTCTGTTACATACAACACTGACCACTCTGTAAATAAATCCACATAAAGCCCCCTCTTACTTGCAAGAGCCTGTAGCGGCTCTTACATTCGCCCTACTTACATTCGCCCTACTTTCACTGTACATTCATGTCTCCAGTATTTTTCCATCTATTTTCCATCACGGTACTTATTTATATTCATTATTCGGACCACGTGTGTTCATTCCTCCAATCGAGCATCGTGGTTCCGCGCATCGTTCCCCCGCGTATTTTCAACTCCACGAGGTTTTTCTCCACTCCCGCTTTCACCTTGGTCGAGTCAAGACGTCTCCGTAATTTCCTCTCCAGGCTTTTATTCTTCTGTGCCTGTCGTTTCTTCTACGGCACGTCTACTCTTTCCCTGCCGTGTTCATCGGGCTGCAGTCTCCCAGTGGAACGTTATAGTCAGCACCGACATGGCGCCTGACTCTCCGCTGGGAGCTGCCAGTTTCTTCGTTCCGGTAGCTCTTTCCACTCACGAGCTCATCATTTCACCGCAGCTCATCTAAACATTCATCATCAAAGTCCGGCGCATCAAACGAGCAACTATTACTACTCAGCACCAGTGCCGGCTTTGCATGTCTACATTTCTACTTGCCTCCGACATCAAGCGACCCACTGTTCCGTCGTCGAGCGCCACATCTCGTCTCTTCTCTTCTCGCCTGAGAGCTTCTTCACTATCTTCATCACGGACGTCAGCGTCGAGATTCTTCACGGCTCTTCAGCCACGACAACGAAGCTGCATCTCCGCCTTCAAGCCTCCGCACATCATCGCGTGAGCCCCTTCCTTCGTTCTCAACTCTCTTCTTCTTCATTGGACTTTCGACGGCATTTCATTTCTACTATTGTCGTAAGCTCTATTTATTCATCGCATTTATTCATGTTCATTCTCACCCTTAATCATTATGTAATCTTCGTGCAATATTCACATTTTCAAGTCTGCTACTTTTGCTTGACTGCACTTTGCAAGTGCATTGTCAGCTTTGTTCAGTACCCAATAAATTAACGAAAAGGGAACATTTTCTTTCTTGTATTTTATTGTCAGTGCAACCTTGTTTCCTCGTAGCTAAAATAAAAATAAGAGTTATGTTGTGTGACGAGTGAACACGCTCTCAAATATCCATTCACAATACCTCACACTCATATCTCTAAAAGCCCAACTAATGACCAACCCTTTGTATGTGAACATAACTGCAAAATGCATACCCAAACTGACCACACAGCTTTCCAGTAGGGAGCTGATAAGGACTGGGAGGTTTTTTGTACATTTAATCCATTGTGTTAATTATGAAAGCTATAGCTTAGGCCTACATGCCTACTTTCCCAATTAAGCTATGTTTACATTTGGTAATAACAGAACATAGCTGTATACAGTTACTGGCATAATAGGGGTGGCTCCAGAGTCCAGGATTTTGTAAACAAGGGGGCATAGTATTATTTGAAATGCTGACATATGCACCCCCAAAAAATGAAATAAAAAAGTTTGTCACCTCAAAATGATGCAAGTGTTTGAAATAGATTTAGTATCATTCATGTTGGCTGACAATTGGAAGCTTGAAACAAGCGAAGGCAAGCGGTACAAGAAGTCTTGAAACTATCAAAAGTTGAAAGTTTCAGGTGTGGTGTCCCCCCTCACTCCAGTATCGATAAAAGTTAGGTTGCAGAGTGCAGTGTACTGAAAAGCTACTTAAAATGATTGGCATAACTGGCATCAGATAGCCTGTAGGGGGCAGCATTCCACTATAGGTTGTGCATACAAGTTCATGGATGTGCTCTATTGAAAGTACACACAGGGGTGACAATTTATTTTGGTTTGTAGTTTTTAGATTTGCTCAGTCCCTCTCAAATGGTTCATGCACAAGAATAGTTTGAAAGCAAAAAGATAATCCCTTTTTTTTTTGCTTATTGTAATCTTTCTTCAATTAAATATGGATGGAAAATCTTAAGCAGATAAGCAGATGGTTATGTTTGTTCTTTTTTTTTTGCCTATTAAACTATTTGTCAGAACCTTGACGTGTTGGTTTTTCTTTCAATCTCAGTTTAGAGATTTTTATCATTATCCTTTTTCAAGCATATATTTCTGTCTGTCTTTCTTTCTTTTGGTGTTTTTTTTTTGTTTTGCTCTCTCTCTCTCTCTCTCTCTCTCTCTCTCTCTCTCTTACTGTTGTTTTTCTCTGTGGAGAAACAGAAAATGTTTCCAGGGCATGGTTGAATGGTGCATGTCCTTTCTCTACACTTCCATCAATAGTGTAGGATTGGAAAATAAGATGAAAGAAATGATACCATTCAAGGTGAAGGATGGCAATTCACCTGAAGAGCGTGGAAAATGAAGGGGAGTGAGAGAGAGAAAGAAAGAGAGAAAGAAAGAGAGAAAGAGAGAGAGAGAGAGAGAGAGAGATTGGGGGAGAAAAGAGAGAGAGAGAGAGGAAGAGGAGAAAGAACAAGAGAGGAAAAGAGTAAGAGAAGAAGAATAGAGAAAAAAGGAAAGATGAAGAAAGGAAAGTAAGAGAGCAAGAAAGAGAGAAGAGGTAATGAGTAAGAGATATTACAAATGAGAGAGTGAGAGAGAAAGAGAGGGAGGAAAGAGGGAGTATACAATCTCTAATCCTCCGATACCCAATAAAGACAAATTATATTACTAGAAGTTACCCCCGGGCAAAACCAGGATAGAGAAAGGGGGCCAAATTTCCTCTGCAAGAAAGGAATATTTTCTTTTAATCAAGTACCGACAGCCCCTCTGAATACTAATGAACATAATTTGGTGGTTTTACCAGGGACCGCATTCATTGTTATTGAGCGGTCAAAAGCGGCCTTCCTTCGTTTTTCGGCATCGCCTTTATTTCACCGCAACTTCACGCTTTTGACAAAAGGGGGTGGTTGCTGTACATGTTTATTTCTCTGTGTTTATACACGACATCAAAGCTTTGCAAGTTTTGCGTTCTGTTACTCTGAATGTAAACACGCTGGGTGATTTTGAATCGAATTTGGATGAAATCGTCACAGGTGTGTAATGAATATGGCTAATTCGTATTCATCGCACATATTTGTCTAATGCAACAAGAAGGTTAAATATTCCATTGGTGAGGGGAGGGATTGAGATCTCTCTTTGAAATAGATATCTCTTTACTCTCGTTTTAGTTTGTTATGATTGTAAGGTGTATCAGAATATGTTTATGAAGTGCCACAAATATTATTTAGGAATATGAACTGGAAATCGTACTATACGGCAGTCCCCCCCCCCCTCCCTTATTAAAAAACACTCTTGAAAAGGCACACAAAGTTAAGAACCGTACATTTGAAGGATATTAAATGTGGTTGTGTTAATATTTTATCAAACTTTAGCAAGATGGGGTGTCGAGGTCTTCATGCTCAGACGTAGCATGATTTCTATCAATTTTTCAGGGATCCGACTAACGTGCTTTGTTCGTTTTCTGCCTTAGCGCTTACGAAACTGAACTTGACAGCCCTTCCCCCAATGATGTTGATATTGGAACTCTGAAATGTTTCCAAGCACTTCTTCTCCCTCCTTCTTGGTTCATAACAGAGGTGCTTATCCGGTGGACTTTCTCGTGCCGCGGGCTATAAACCTCGTTCGTGCCTTCATCGGCCGACCACGGGCTTATCCTACCGCCCAATCCTTTGAAATTTTCTTTGTGTCCCTGACAGAGCAAATCAAATTAAAACCTTCAAGTGTATCGTTCTTAATGGAAAGATTTTTTTTTTTTAGGGTCACCCTGGTGCAAGAACGTGAAATGCTACGTGTGGGACTACATTGAAGGCTATTTAGGGATGAAATTATATATTACTCTTTGATAAAGAAAAATTGTTTATGAGTGAAACCATCCAAGACCAGAGATGTAGAATGATTTTTTTCTTTCTTTTTAGTAGAACAAACATTGTATTTCAAATATATTACTCATCATTGCAATTATCTGTAATAGAGGACTAATTCCTGTTCATTTTTCTTCAGTGTCGAACTAATTTTATCAACCCTAATTTCCTCTCTTTTTTGAAAACTTTTGTGTGTACAAACATACTTAAAATTATATATTCCTAATTATACCTTCAGGGATTACTAATTTTGTTAAGGTTGGTAGATATTAAGCACTCTATATAGCCATTCAGTATTTGTTTGTTAACTTTGAACTTGGAACTGTTAATCAATCAGATCATCATTGTCAAATCCTTTGATGGATATTTATTAACTCATTGCATTTTGTAACAATTATTAGGCGCTTAATACGGTCGTTTCTAAGCACACAATTGTCTGTCTACAGATTACCAACCAAAACTTGTAGTGAACACACAAATTATAAATCTGTTCTTTATTTAATAAATCAAGCATATATAATTTAAAAATAGAAATGATATCAAACATATGATCAAACATAAGAGCAAACATACTAGGAATAAGATGGTGTGCAACAATCTGACTAATTGCATTTCTCTTTCTCTTCCTCTTTTTTTCTCTCCCTCACAGTTTCACAAGCACCGGCCTGAATATCTCGGTTGAAATCAACGATCTGATTGACATCCAGTGCCCACAAACAGAGAATACGACCGAAGGCCGATTAAAAGCGCAATACCTCAAGTTTATGCAAGTCTCGTATCAGGGCTACGAACAGTGTTCGCTGTCAGCCAGAAACCGCCATCTCTTGTCCTGTAACCGTCCCTACGTCCAAAATAGGCTCACGTTACTGTTCCAAGAACACACGCCCTATCCACGAGGTCCGACGTTTAGACACGGCGAAGAATACTATTTTATCAGTAAGTTTCCTTTCCCTGTTTCTCTCAAATTCTATCATTTTGTATTAAGCACTATGGTGCTTCATGTTTTTAACACTGTTTAAAGCGCCCGTTGAAATTTGATAAATAAATAAATGAACCATTTTCCCAGGTTTTCCCTTTTGTTACCCATAAATGCTTTGTTATTGAAAGTTTCTTAATAAAACAAGTAACAATTTTGAAAAAAAGTTTTAACAGACACATACAATGTTTCAATCTCTTTTTATTTTTTCCTTTTAAATTACATGTACATGTTTTAAAGCCATACTAAATAAAAGCACTACTGTAAAATCTCCTCTAGCACCATCTAATGTCAGTTGTAGTAATATGGTTCTGCCCCTCGCTCCTTCCCTAGCTAGCTTCCATTTTCTCGCATCAAGTCCTCTGTTTACGAAGTGGAAATTAGGTATTCAGTTTGCACTGTTGGCAAGTTGACCATGAGATGGTGCTGTGCAATAAACAGTGCGCTAGGGCAGAATGATAATTTGTTTAGTATTACTTTAATTGATAATGTCTTTGTTTTGTATCTTTTCTATCTGCAGCAACTTCAAATGGTTCAGCAAATGGTATTGATAATTCAAGAGGAGGTTTATGTGAATCGCATTACATGAAGTTAAGAGTTTACGTCAAACCTAAACCGACAGGTATGTATCCCCTCTAAATCATAATGGTATGATCCAACTTTAATTGAAGTATGCACATTATTTGGAAGGATCGATTTATGGATAGGGGTGGGACATTCTATGCGGGTGGGTGATTTGATACACATTACACAAAGTTAAGAATTTACATCAAGTCTAAACCAATAGCTATGTATCCCCTATAAATCAAAATGGTATGATCCAACTTTGATTGAAGTATGCACAAAATTTGGCAGGATTCATTCATAGATAGGGGATTGGACTCTCTGTGCAGGTGGGCGATTTGATACACATTTATACACAAAGTGAAGAATTTACATCAAGTCTAAACCAACAGCTTTGTATCCCCTTTAAATCAAAATGGTATGATCCAACTTTAATTGAAGTATGCACAATATTTGGAAGGATTGATTTTTGGATAGGGGACAGGACATGGATAACTCTCCCGTTTGTCTGTGTACAAAAGAATAATTAATTTCTGTTTTTCTCCCTTGGGGTACTACTCAAGTATCAATGGAGACCATGTTTATCAGTTGCATTTCTAAACTTATTTGTACCAAAATACTTTGTTTAGCTGTTTAAGGGGTCAGGCTCGATTAGCACATGTGCTATTATCTGGCTCTTTTTACCAACCAATAGTTTCTCTTCCTGTATATGTAAAACCATTGTATGAAATGTATTGCTATTGGTAAATAAATCAAATCAAATCAAATCAAATCAAATCAAATCAAATCAAATTTCTATTTTCTTTTGACCTCAGCTTCACCCACCACCGGCGGTCCACCGACCACGCCCTCAAACTCGTCAACTCCGCCCGACATTTCACGAGCCGCCACGAGTATGACGAGCAGAACAACGACGAGAGCGACAACAACTTTACGCACCACCTCCTTACCACCAACAACGACAAGAAGAACAACACGGTATACGACTGGTGAGTACCGGGTTTATTTTTATTCATCTATTCATTAGTGATAGTTTGTAGTAACAATCTCAACAACAGCAATGTAGTAATAATGATATTAATCATAATGATAAATATTGATAGCAAATTAGCAATGATGATGATTACAATAATACCACTGGTAAGTACTGTGGTATATTTTTATTCATTTATTCATCGATGATAGTAGTAACAATCCCAACAACAGCAATGTAGTAATGATGATTCTAAACATAAAGATAATGATGATGTTGATGATAATAATAAATTATTAAGAATAATGAGGGGCGAGGAGGGGGAGGGAAAAGGGAAGGGGAAGGGGAAGGAGTAGAAGAAGAAGTTGAACAAGAACTAGAACAAGAAGAAAGGGAATAAGAGGATGAGGAGGAAGAAGAGGAAGAGGAAGTTACTCACTATATACTTCAAGTTGTATGTGCTACATTATCAAGCTTTCCAGATCCTTTTACAATATATAATAGCTTTAACAGAACTTGACTTTATCTTTCATATGTAGCTATACATTTCCCACTCATGTGACTTCAAACAAAATACAATATTTTGAAAGAAATACGAATAAATTTTCTCCCTCTTTTCTTCTCAACTTTTAATTCCTAAATTGCAGGAGGAAAGATCAAATCGACCGAAGAAGGGAACAATATCCCAGATAACATGACGCGGGGAGCAGCGAACAGAAGACACGTTTCCACGACCCTTCTCCTAGCGTCGTTGCTCGTCGCGGTCGTCAGATGGCTCCATCCGTGACCTTTGACCTGCGACATCTTGTACTTTTGAACTGTTTTTTTTTCTAATTTAAGAAACTGTAGTGTGTACTTCGTGCCTGTAGAGAAGAGAAAAGAGGGATTTGTCGAAGCCGAGCCGTCGACCTGACGGGAGATGCATTCTGGGGAGTCAGGAGTCTCCAATCGCGAGAGATCCATGGTTTCTCGACATAAATCCACCCATCCCCCTTCTCCCATTCAGTCAAGCAAAATTTATTGCATAACTGTTTGAAAGAAGAAAACAATTCTAATTCATGGGCAACCCAACCTTTGTAATGAGATCATTTGTATGAAAGCAGAAAAATAAGAGAAAAATAATGGCAAAAGTTTGAAATTAATCTGACTACCGGTAGACATAAAAAGATTGGAATATAAAATCACTGTATCTAGGCAAATCTCAAATTGGCAATTTAGACAGTGGATTGAGATTTTGTCACATGAAAAAGTCTTCTATTTGTCTTGTACAAAATATTGCAAAATTTCTATTTATCTCCTAAGCGCCTTCTCCCTTAATTAAAAATCTGAAAATCGATACCTTGCTTCGTATGTGCTTACAAAAACAAAGTCCTTTTTCTTCTTCCGTTAAAACTGATAATTAACTAACGTCTTCCATCAGCCAATACCTGGAAAAAATCATATTAAAACTGAAAAGTGATGGTGTTTGAAATCTTTTAGAAGCATAACGTTTGATTCGTAACACGTTGATAATTTCGATATCATTATTTTACGATCAATATTTGCCATTTATTAAACTTCTCACCCATGAACATTATTTTCAGAGACATTTCAGTTTATTTGAACAATGTAGCAATACAAATTGTTGCCAGTTTGAAGAAGATAGTGATCAATTTAGCCCTAAAAAAAATTGTATCTTGAAAGGGTTAAAGGTTAAAGCCATAGCCCTTCATGACCCTGTTATCACCTCCTGGATGCATCTCCTGTAGGTAGTCTATGTATATAGCAACAGAACGAGATTAAATACCAGGGACCCATTTCACAAAACCTGTTTTTCAATGACAAATGACTAAAATCAGTGACAAACCTGCTGATAACCGATCAGAAGCAAGGATTTCAGTTGCTTATAACAACTGTCATATGTCACTGATGACAAGTTTTGTGAAACACCCCCCAGGGGCTCGTTTCACAAAAACTTTTTTTGATAACAAATGACTAAAATCAGTTACAAATCTGCTGATAACCAATCAGAAGCAAGGATTTCAGTAGCTTATAACAACAACTGTCATTTGTCACTGATAACAAGATTTGTGAAACGTCCCCCAGGACTATGATCCTCTCCAGAACTTTTGTACTTAAAATATATAGCAAAGAGGATTAAATATTAGTACTACTAACAAATTAAATTGCACTGTGACTACTATACATTAACTCCTTCAAAAAAAAAGTTCTGCTACTCAAGTTGATAGCATTGATACCTCTCTTGATACTCTGTTCGTGAACTTGATGTTGGTATCACAGAAAATCTAGTTTATTCCCCTATACAAGGATGCCCCTTTACAAGGATGTCCCTTTACAAGGACGCCCCTTTTTAATGATTATGTAATCATGAAATGTGCAGTACACCTGAATATGAGGACAAATCGATTGTTTATTCCTTTTTAAAGGTGAAATGTTGCATTGTTATTCCTTCTTAACACAATCCACCCTCCAATCTTACGAAGAATCCACCGTTGACGATAACAATGTTTTTTGCAACATTTCACTTTTGACTTTGCCCCATATTCAGGACTACTGCAAATTATAAGATTACATAACCATTGCGAATGGCGCTTCACTGTCTTAAAAAGGGAATAATCAGGCTTTTTGGTGATACAAACAAGAGATATCGATGCTAAAACATGAATTGCAGAACTTTTCGCTTGGAGGGGTTTAGATGACTTTTTGAGATTTCAAAGCCTTACTTGCTGAGGGGGATAAGAATTGCATTTTTTGAAAACTTTTTGTCAGATATGAAATGACTCTCCTTGAACAAAGAGTCGCATTTGTACTTCAAGAAATAATGTTTTATACTTAAATATGTATCCTTCCTGAAAAAGCTGCAATTTTTTTGGAGGATTATTACTATTATATGAGAGAGAGAGAGTGAGAAAAGAGAGAAAAACGGCATGAAACATGTCCGTGATGCTCTCAACGTTTTTGATCAACTTGCATTTCTAACTTGAAGAAAATAATATTTTGAATGACTATTTTGTACATACTTGTACATAAGAAATATATTATTGCACTTTTGTTATGTAAAAACTTGATGCTATAAAAATTGATTTTTTTTTTCTTCTTCATCTACATTATACATCTCTTGTTCTGAACACTTTGTTTTTTCGTTTTTGTTTTTTTGCTCTGAATTTTATTTATATATGCCAAACTTTGTGTATTATTTTCGCTCTAAATTTGTTTGCAAATGTCTCTTTTTTGTTGTATTTGATGTAGAAAAGATAATGTTTGTAAAACTTGCAATGTAGAATACAATTATCACTTAGGAACTCAGAAATTGTGCTTCCAAAGCGTGTATACCCTACCTTCCTCAATAATGGCTGAGTCCATAATGCTATGGTGTGAATGCACATGTAGGAGAGTCCACTTAGTTTTTAGGGGGTTTCACTTTGATTTAGAATGGAGGGGAGAAGTGGTGTGCAGCACAAATGAATTCACCTCTATTTTCCATACATCACTCTGTCTTTAAAAAACAATAGATTTTGATTATGATCGAATGGATTCCAACGTCGCTTCCTCTGTATTCTTCACGTTTTGAAAACGTGATTAAACCATTCAAAATGTAGACTTACGTGTGTACTAAAGAACATTGAAGGGGACCAATTGCCAAAACCTATTTTGCTCTGAACATTTAGGTATCCATTAAGGTATCCTATATCCAAAATGCCACCTGTCAAGAATACGTTTATTAGGATAAAAAGAAAGTTTAAATATCCTCAATTCAGTTTATGAATATTTTGGGGGTCTCTCTTGTTTGATTCATAACTGAAATGTAAATTTATTTGATGGATGAAATTAATCAATGAATTAGTCAGTTTAATTTCTTCATACTCCTTATTAAACTGAACACCCACGCCCACACCAAGGTGGGGGTAAACTTTGATATGTTATGATATATAATTTATCGGTTCACAGCCAGAAGGAGCATTAACTCTGTGTTACAAGTTAACACCTTCCTGCCTTCCGAATGGCTCATATTTGATATTATTCTATACCTGCTAAATTTATGCAAATTATAGATTAGGTAATTGGTTCTCTATGGTGTAGACTTTTACTATACAACGCCAGTAGCAAACCAACCATATATACCTTGAAAATCATGTATTCTGGCCCGCACATGTATTCCTCTGAGTAGGACTGTACAATGTTTTTGTTCGAATTTGATACACTAGTATACTCCATAATGAAAAGATATAAACATCATGTCAACACTAACTTTTTTCTTTCTTTTTTATTAACTTCTTTTAAAAATGGTGGCAGGGTTTATGCTGATATTTCTTTTTAATTGGATTTTACTGTATACTATATTGGTTGGGGAATTTATATGCAATTTACTTGATTTATTTGATTAATGAATCCCTTAGAATCCCACCATTGGTAATTGATGTAGGTTATAATCTTATGAATTTTGATTTTGATTTTGATTTATATAATCCATGACAAACCACCATGTAATTGACTTGATGTTTTATTTTGGGTATGTTTGATAGGAGGTTTTTAGTTTATTGCGTTTATCAGATCAAAGTTCTGACACCTAAATCCAAGATGTTCCCACCTTTAAACCCTTGGTTGTATCAACCAAATATAGCCATTCTGAAATTCAATGAACTTCATGAACATGAAATTTTAAGGCCTGATTAGACCTTACCCATAATGATTACAATAAACTACCGGTATGCGTATTCATATAATGAATGATAACGATTGCGATGAAATGTTCATACCTTAACCATAAAATAATCACTAGAAAATAATCTCCAAAAAGGTTGTCGCAAAGTAGAGGATTGTCAATGTTGGAAAGCAATGATTAAAAACATATAAAAAGATATTATGGTCATGGATTATGAAATATTAATGAAATATGAGATCATGGCTCAGGAACACACAACTTAGCAATTGATTATGAAACTGATTGATCAATCATACAATGAATTAAAAATAGCAATCAATTGCTTACTTCTCAGTCGTTGTGTTGCAGGACCCATAATATTGATATTGCCCGCCAATGAAGGCATTTCCATTTTTTCAAACCCTCCCTTTTTTAAATCGCATTGGAACGTATAGTCAGTACTACTATCAAGTTATGAATTTTGAATTGAAATGTCTTGAATGTAAATTCCAATGTGTTTATATGTTCATTTTTTATATTGTGAAACAATATATCTCTTTATGACTGTATATTTATTGACACGATACTGATTTGCAAGAGCTGTACAAAGAAAAGAAAAAAAATATGATATTTTTCACCTTTTTTTGTTGTTGGTTGGAACAAACATGGGGATATATATTATTGGCTGTACAAATTTTTTTATTGAAAAAAATAATTAAAAAGCAAGCATGTGATTTTGCAATGCAGTAAGTTTATTCTTCTCTTCATATATATTTCAAAAGATACAATTTGTAAAGAAAATATCTCACATCTCATGTCATGAATTCCTTTTGTTTTTTGTGTTATTGAATGTAAAGTTCTGTATGGATGCATTTCTACATTTCATTTTGTATGTTTCTTCATTTCTTGTTTTGTTTCCATGACAACAATGTCCTTATCTTGACCCAATCACGACCTGTGTAGATTTCAATTGAACGAGTCATCACAATTTCTTTCTGTTGAACTTCAAAGTTCATATCTTGAGCTATTTTAGACAATTGCTGTAATTGTGGAGCAACTAACTCCTGTTGAAACGCGTCATATGACGCACATAAACCTAGGTTTGTCGACAAACCTCGGGCCTATATGGCTGTACAAAAACTGTATAGCATTTTGCTTTATATACGGTGATTCTTTATACAAGTTGCATTTGATTGGCTGCGAGCAAATTTGTAATAGTGATTTGACAGTTGTAGTTAACAGCAGGTTTAATGAAACAGGACCCTGCTATCGCTTTTGATACCGTATGTGTAAGAAAATCTCCACCTTTTAATGTAATACATTCAGTTTATTATTTTTGAATTGGTTTTCATTCA